CTTGTATTCCCATGCAGCCTGGATTAATTGCTTTAGGGGGCACATTTCTCTGCAGACCACCAAAAAAATTTTGTGGACCACCAGTGGTTCGTGGTCCACTGGTTGGCAACTCTATGCTCTATGGTGCAGTGGTAGAAGATCACCAGCAGTTTTTCATTCAGTTTTGTTTCCTGGGAAGCCTCAGGTAGTATAATCTCTGCTGGGCCCTTTTGACCAGTGCTGCAATGTGAGCATCCCAGGTCAGATTCTCTTTCATGGTAACACCCAGAAACTTAACACTGGCCACTTGCTCCACTCAGTCTCCATTGATAAGCAAGGGCTGGATGTCTGATCTGTTCCTTCTATAATCCACTATAAGCTCCTTGGTCTTATTGGTGTTAAGGACCAAGTTATTGTCTCCACACCACGAAAGCAAGTAGTCCACCTCATCTCATAGACAGACTCATCCCCCCCCCACAAAGATGTCCCACCACTGTTGTATAATCTGCACATTTAATAATAGTTTAGCAGGAGTGGGGATGCAGTCATGCACATAAAGAATATAGAGTAAGAGACTAAACATGCAACCCTGTGGTATACCAGTGTTAAGAATGAGGGCTGAAGAGATATGATTACCTAATCTAACCCTCTGTGAGTGGCCAGACAGGAAATCCATAATCCAAAGTCAGACTGAATAAGAAAGCCCAGGATCCATAAGTTTAGACACTAGTCCATGTGGAAGAATTGTGTTAAATGCAGAGCTAAAATCTCACATAGCCTCCCCACTGTTCCAAATGAATCAGAGCAGTGTGAAGAGTGATGGTTATATCCAGGGATGGGATTCAAAAATCCCAACAACAGGTTCGCTGCCTGGTTGCTGGGTGGGCGTGGCCTTGGTGGGCATAGCCTACCAGAATTTCCAGGAGGGTCATTTTTCACCTTCCCCAGGATCCAGAGCAGAGGTGGTATTCAGCAGGTTCTGACTAGTTCTGGAGAACTGGTAGCGGAAATTTTGAGTAGTTCAGAGAACCAGCAAATACCACCTCTGACTGGAGATTTTACAGTATCCTTCCCCTGCCACATCCACCAAGCCACGTCCACAGAACCGGTAGTAAAAGAATTTGAATTCCACCACTGATCCAGAGGCTTCCCTTGGGCCTCTGAGAGGGTGAAAATGGCTTCCTGCTGGCTTCAGAGGGCCTCTGGAAGCTGGAAACATTTCAGCCATTTTCACCTTCCCCAGGGTCCGCAGGCTTCCCTCAGGCTTCTGGGAGGGCAAAAACAGTCTCCCTGGGCTCCGGAGGGCATCCGGAAGCCAGAAACAGGCCCATTTCCGGATTTCCTGAACTTTTGGTTTGCTCGTTTTTTACCTTCCCTAGAGTCCAGAGGCTTCCCTCGGGCCTCTGGGAGTGCGAAAATGGCCTCCCCAGGCTCTGGAGGGCCTCCAGAAGCCGGAAACAGGCCCGTTTCTGGATTTTCAGAACTTCAGGCTTGGCCCGTTTTCGCACTCCCAGAGCCTCTGCGCGGACCCTGCACTTACCTGCATCTGAAACGGGCCACGTGGAGACTCCTGGGAGGGGCAGGGTGGGGTAGGTGCAGCCAGCCGGTCGGTTCAACTGCCCATTCGGTGAACCAGATGTAAATTTAACATTCGATTCGCCTGAACCGGTCTGAACCGATAGAATCCCACCTCTGGCTATAGCATCCTCTGTAGATCTATTCGTTCCGTATGCAAACTGTGTTTATCAAATGTATGCGGAAGACCAGAAATGATGTGCTGGCAGACCAATTTCTCAAAGCAATTCACAATGATAGGAGTGAGTGCCTCACTGAGGTTATTGATATGGAACTTTTTGGCAGCAGAGCAATGGTGGAAGCCTTCAAATAAGATGGAATAGTGCCCTGGGATAAAGCGATTGAAGATTCTGGTAAAGATTCCAGCCAACTGATCAGCACAGTGTTTAAGCACTTGGCCAGAGACACCATCAGGACCAGCAGCCTTTCTTGGGTCCACAACCCTCAGAATGCTCCTCACCTCCTGTTCTTCCACAATGAGGTGGGGGCTACAATGGGCTGGTGACTATATTTTAGCTGTCTCTGATGTCTTCACTTCAAAGTGAGCAAAGAAATGATTCAGCTCCTCTGCCAATGAAGATCCCTCTCAGCAGGGATGACATTGGTCGGTTGATGGTTGGTAATTTGTTGAATCCCTCGCCATACCTGTCTCATGTTATTACTATAAAAATTTTCCTCAATTTTCCTCTTATAATCAGTCTTGGCCTTCCAAATACCCTCCTTCCTTCAGACTAGCTCTGGCAACACTGTATCTTGCCCTATCACCGGACCTAAAGGCCTTGGTCCTGTCACACAAGAGGCACTGAACTTCCTTAGTCATCCAGGGCTTCTGAAATTGGAGCTAGGCTCTACCAGAAGGGCTCTTGTTTTTTTTATATATTTTATGTTTTAAAAAATGTTACTTCTGATTTAGTCATGCTAAATAAAAAAACCACATCCTTAAATGAACTAATATTAGTGAATCTTCTGCGTCTGTTTCAAGTTACAACAGTATTTTTGAGATATAGCAAACTTCCAGCTTCTTAAACCAAATCAAATTCAGCAAGACCAGATGTTATATTCAATAGTGGTCATTCAAGAAGAATCCAGAACTCTGTCCTTCTGTTGAAAGGCTGTCAAAATGCCTTTCTTCCGAGGATTCGATTTTCCCGCTGGGAGAGCTCCGGCGCAAGGATACGGACAACTGCTTGAAAGCCGGATCTTTATTTTTCAGGAAGGCGAGAGATAGCGAGGAGGCTGCGTTCCTGGGCTAGCTACCTTCGTATGGTAAGTCCCTTGATTTTTATACCCTTTTTCTCCTTTTGTGTGTGAGTGCTTGTATTTGTATTTAATGTTTCAAATCCTGTCAGGGTTTGTCTTTATTTCCGCCGGAGGGTAAACTCCATGGGGTGCGGAAGGCAAACTTTGTGGGGTAGATTGATTGTATTATCGGCTTCGTTCTAATCTCTTTTAGCTTTACAATAGTTTCTTATATTTGTTTTGTGGCAATCTCCTGTCTGTCTCCTTTATAATCTATATATATTTTTGTGTCTTTTGTCTGTTTTGCTGATTTGGCATGTCTCGTGTTTGTAAGGGTTTTCTTTTCTTATTTCTCTAGTTTTCTTAATTATTTGGGCTTTTGTCTAAAAGGCTTCTTTAATACCTTTTATTTGATTCCTTTTCCTATGCAAGTTTGTTTTATGGCTGGCCTGATGTTCCCTTTGGGCTTTTCCTGCTTGAGTGGCACCACTGTCCTTGTGAAGTTCCCTTTCCACACTTCATTTCCCAGAATAATATTTTAATATTTATTTCAAAATATCTTCTTTAGAATTTGAATTTTGTTTTCATTCTAATCAATCTAATTTGAATCATTGATTTAATTTGATTATAGGTTTTCTGTACAAGCCTATACTGCCACCAAATTTTCTGATCTATTCAGAAGCAATAAATTACATTATTTAAGACAGTGATCCAATTTTGAAATCCATTTGATTTATATTTAATTCTAACTCAAATCTTGTTCAAATCTGAACTCAATTTTGAACAATATTATTTATTAGTACTTCAATCACAACTAATCTTTTCTTCATCTTTGGGCAAGGCGAATGTGAGTAAATTTCTGAATCAGAAATTGTTCTGATTCAAGTTAGTTCTTAAATGTATAGTTGTACTGATTACAAATATCTTAATGCTTGAAAAATATCAAAGGCACTTGAAAAAGGACTCCTGTCTTGGCAGGGTTTGGACTATAAGATCGCTAAGGTCCCTTCCTGGCCTATGTTTCTATCATTCAGATGAGTGCTAGTTGAAAGACAATTGAAAAAAATATATAGTTAGTTCCTGTCAGCTGCATGTTTAAAACAACAGATAACAGATAATCAGAGCTGGAAGGGGCCTTATAGGTCATCTAGTCCAACCCCCCAAAAGCGGGAGACCATACACCAATTCTGACAAATTGCAGTCCAATCTCTTCTTGAAGGTCTCAAGTGATGGCGCTCCCACAACTTCCGAGGGCAAGCTGTTCCATTGGTTGATTGTTCTCACCGTCAGAAAGTTTCTCCTTTTTTCCAGGTTAAATCTCTCCTTGTTCAGTTTCCATCTATTATTCCTTGTCTGGCCTACAGAAAATAGCTTGACCCCTTCCTCTCTGTGGCAGCCTCTCAAATATTGGAAGACCACTATCATGTCTCCCCTGGTCCTTCTCTTTAATAGACTAGCCAAGCCCAGTTCCTGCAACCGTTCGTTGTATGTTTTAGCCTCCAGTCCCCTAATCATCCTGGTTGCTCTTCTCTGTACTTTTTCTAGAGTCTCAACATCTTTTTTATAATGTGGTGACCAAAAATGGATGCAGTACTCTAGGTGTGGTCTTACTAAGGCTTTATAGAGTGGTATTAGTACCTCACTTGATCTTGACTGTATCCTTCTGTTAATGCAACTTAGGATTGCATTAGCTTTTTTGGCTGCTGCTGCACACTGCTGGCTCATATTTAGCTAGTTGTCCACTAAGACTCCAAGATCCCTCTCACAGTTACTGCTGTTAAGCCTGGTTTCACCCAGTCCATATATGTACTTTTGGTTTTTCTTGCCTAAGTGTAGCACTTTACTTTCCTCTACATTGAATTTTATTTTGTTAGATACGGCCCAGTGTTCTAGTCTTTCAAGATCCATCTGGATCTTGAGCCTATCTTCTTGAGTGTTACGTTAGCTATTCCTGCCAGCTTAGTATCATCTGCAAATTTGGTAAGTTTCCCTTCTATTCCCTCATCTAAGTCATTAGGGTGATGCCTAAATGGCAGTAAGAACCAAGAGTATAACAAGCATTAGGAATATCAACAAGAGAGAAATGCAACCAATGATAGCAAAGCTTAACTGTGAAGATAGGAAACAGAAACCAGAAGGTTTTACTTGTGAGAAATGACCTTGTACCACTCATATGGAAAATGCTATTGGTGATCTTAGAAAGTATTCTATTGTCCCAAAATCTGGGAAATTCCAGCTGACCTAAAAGGTAACAGAAGAAGAAGTATAACTGATTTAACAATGCAATATAATATCAAAATAATCAAAATATCTGTATAAAAATGTATTCTTTTCTTTATAGTTTTGTATTTCTGTTGTCATAGTTTTATTGCTTTTAATGTTATAAGCTGCCCAGAGTTGCCTTGTGGTGAGATGGTGGCAAATAAATTTAATAAACAAACACTAAAATATTTATTTGACTTCCAGGTGAAAATTCTTTATAGGTGTATTCTAGAACTTGTGCATCCGAGGCCTAGAGCGCTCTCCTCGAACCTGATGCCCCATCTGAATTGGCATCAGGCTGGAGAAGGAATATTTGGACTTAAATTTCAAATTAAACAATAATACAGCTAATGCCCCTAAATTCTAATGTTCAATCTTATGAAAGGGCCGCAACATACCATCGGGTGACATTCCTGGATGCAGCTAGGTCAAAATATTTTGAGAGGGAACTTCAAGATGGGAGTGGCAGGTCCCTCCATTATAACTGTGACCCTCCCTTAAACCCTATAAGGTAATCCAAATTCACACTATCAGATTTTAATCCCAAAGTGGCCAAATCTGTCACTTGCCACTGAATGCAAATACTCCAAGTGGTGGAAGTGCTGGGGGGATACACAGCCTCAGGATTATTTATTTAGTGATTGATTGATTGATTGATTGGAATTTGTCAAACAAAAACGAGAACAAGAATAAGAGAATAAAAATACGATAGGGTGATAGGCACATTAGTGCACTTATGCACCCCTCCTCTACTGACCACTTATATGAAGTGGTTGCCTACCTATATCTATTATAACAGCTAGAGCTGAACTAGCAAGTACAAGGATAAGAAGACAGGAATTCTGCTGCCTCACAGGCCAGGATCTGAATGAATCTCCTGCTAGCTAAGTTACATTCTTAAAGTTATTTATAATTTTTAAACTAAATGGAGGCAAAACCGGAGGAAAATGAAGAACAGTTATTAGTAGTATGTTTTTAGAAGATGGAAAAATGCAACTGATTGACTTTTTTCAATCATGTTTTAATACCTTTCACATATATGTTTCATCATATATTGCTGAAAAGATGAGCTGTTTATGACATTTTTCTAGATTTTACAGTGGTAGCAAAGCTTAACAATAAAGGCGTGGAGCTGAGATTGTCAGAAATGCTAAGCCAGGCTGCAGTAAACAAATAGGTCTTCAGAATACTTTAAATATGGAAAATTTTTGAAGCCATATGAAAGTATCCATACTTCTTCAATATGTCCCCATCCAAATATTTTGGCAGGATAACTGAATTTCCTGCTAGATGATTTATTGAATAGGGGATGCCTATTATATCTCACCTCCTGCAAGAAAAGCTACAAGACATTCTATAAAAAGCAGATAATATGTCACACCATTGTTATGTCCATCTTGTTTCCATTTCAATTCCATTCAAATTATTTTTGATTCCAGTTTCCATTTTGTCATAATTATCTGAAGGAAAGGGAGAAACAAGAAATCAGTTAAGTTGTTGTATATTTATTTGTTTGTCTGTTTATTTAATCTGTTGTCTATCTCAGGGGTCCCCAACCACCGGTCCGTGGACCAGTACTGGTCCGTGGAACAAGTCCTACCGGGCTGCTGGTTTGCTGGGCGCCGCCATCTTTTTTTGATGAAAAAGTGCTTCCGGTGAGCTTTTCCGGGTAGAAAGCTCACCAGAAGCACTTTTTCAACAAAAAAAGATGGCGGCGCCCAGCTAATGCCGGTACCGGGCCGCGCCATAAAAAAGGTTGGGGATACCGGGCCGCGGCATAAGAAAGGTTGGGGATCACTGGTCTATCTCATTTCAGAATGGCTCTGGGTGGCTTGCAGCTTATGCTGTCTCTTTGAAAAAAATGAAGCTACCTCTATGTACTTCTCCCATCTGCTTAAACATTTCAACAGAGACAAAGGGAATCCATGTTTAGTCAGAAGTATCAGCTCACTCAGCCTCATGAAAACCAGGTGGCAGTAGCAAGAGATCACTCTAACAAAGTCTTTAATTGCACCCATTTTTCATCCTTCTTGTAAATACATTTTTTTTTTTTTTTGCAAGAAGGCTCTAAAGAAGCAGGCAAATGTCCCACCGAAATGTCTTACTCACCTGGGATAAAAACACCATTTTGCATTCTTGTATCTGCTATCAAAACAACATTTTTTATTTAAACATGTTCGTCTTGATATTCCAGGATATCCACAATCAGTTCTTCTTCTTGGAGGTACATTGCAATTCCCACCTAAGAAAAGTATAGAATTGAAGTATATGGAAATGGTTTAATTTGTATTTAGTACAAAGTGATGTGGAAATATACGTTTAAAAAAGCATGGGCAGGCAGTCATATCAGTAAAATATTTCTTTGACTTCCAGGTGAAAATTCTTTATAAGGCAAATTCTAAAACTTGTGCATCCCAAGCCAAGAACACTCTCCTCTAACCTGACGCCACATCTGAATTGGCATCAGGCTGGAGAAGGAATATTTGGACTTAAATTTCAAATTAAACAATACAGCTAATGCCCCCAAATTCTAATGTTCAATCTTATCACTCTTAATTTTTACCAAATTAAGCAAATATATATATATATATATAGCTTAACCTTGGACATCTAATTGACTGATTTGACTTTTCTTCTTGAAACCTCAATGTTAAATGCAGATAGATGTTAGCATCTGGTTTGCTCCCTCCAGAGCCTATCCAGAATGGGTGAAGTAAAAAATGTAGTTTTTCACTGCTATAAAAAGCTTAAAAGCATAAATTTCACACAAACACACTCAAAAAGAATCACACACCTGGTCCCAATTCGACATATTTTTTGGAGTGTTGTCCTCGACATCTACTGTATAAGACAGCTCTTGGTCAAATAAAGTCATGCTGTTCTACCTTTTAAGCCCAAAGGAACTAATTCCCAAGTTGGCCTTCAGTTGTACCATCATGTTGAAACAACTAGTCAGCAATTAGGATATTCAATGGGCCAGACACAGAGTCCTCTGAATTCCAGAAGTGCCAATGTCATATAGGCAAATGTGACATAACTATCCTGCTTTCTTACTCGACTATAAAGAATGGCATTCAATCCTGTCACTACTGCTTTCCAGGCACATTTTTTCTCTGACTATAAGAAACAATATGTTCATAAAGGCATATGGCTTTCAAATGCTATGAAAGAGGAACATAATTGCAGAATGAGCTGTTGGGGTCACCTTAATAGTCTAAAAGCTATGAAAACATTTAGAATTGCTGGCTGGCTTATGTGGTTTTCTATGGCTGTGCAATGGCTCAGTGGTTAAGATACTGGTTTGAGATCTAAGTGTCATGCAATGGGGTGAGTTCCCATCCTTGCTCTAGCTCCTACCAATCTAGCCATTTGGAAGCATGTAAATGCAAGCAGATAAATAGGTACCACTTCAGTGGAGAGGTAGCAGCACTCCGTGATGTCATGCTGGCCACATAACCGCAGAAACATCTTCGGACAGTGCTGGTTCATTGGCCCTTGAAACAAAGATGAGCCCCGCCCCCTAGAATCAGCAATGACTAGTGGGGTAAAATCTGCAAGGAGTCCTTTACCTTTTCGTGGTGGTCTACGTGGCGGTGGTCTAGGTCTAAAGGGTATTCTAGCATCTGTCAGAGAGCTGAATCCAAATATCAGAGCAAATGCCAGCAACCAGAGCCATTTGCAGTTCATTTTGAATGTCAGTCTTCACCAAGAGACAGATTTATTGAAGAATTCAAGAATATTGGTCTCTCTGTGTGTGATCTGATTCCTGAAAAGAAAGTTGCAAAATATTCAAGCATGTTTCTACTACCAGATCTTCAGAGGAAGGGAAGTGGTTTAATGCCCAAGTAGTTATTCTCAACAACACCTTAAACACCTTTGAGTTAAAAGATTCCTCTATGTGTCCTCTAAATACACAAAGGAAACCATATGAAAATGTGTATAAAACAGGTTTTGGGGTAATGTGGAAGGTGTGGTATGTAGGGTGATTGCAATGAAGGAAAAGAGAGGGAGGGAGGGAAGAGCTGTGGGAGGGCATAAGAACATTAGGATGTATCTTCTATCATTTAAATGTCAACCATAGTAATTGCGGATAAGAATTTGCAAAGAAAATTTTGATCTAAGCTCAGCTATCTTAACGAAGTATTAATTTGGCAATGTTTCATACCCCTCTAAACTGCAACCCTTGTAAGATTTCTGTTAAAAACTCAGTTACATTACTCTCTGCACGGTTAATGGAAGAACTAAGAAAGACATGATTGTCAGTGCAGAGACCAGAATTGAACAATAGACCTCCTAATTCACCAGGGAGAAGAAGATGTACAAGAAGAAGAACCTAGGACGACTGCATAAACACCAGGGCAAACCAATTAAACTGATTCTATCAATGCAAATCAAATGTCTTATAAAATGCTCACCTAATTCATTGTTGGATTGTACATAACTTACCTCTCTTGATGTGGGTGTTCAGAATTTCAGGAAGAGCTTCCCACCCCAGAATGAAGGTAGACATGCTCATTTATATGGTTCAGAAAGTCCTCCTTCTTCCTGTTCTAGTTCCACTAACTGGCCAAAAAAAAGAGAGAGACTTAGATTACCAAAAAGAAAATCATACGTAATAGATTATTGCAGCAACATTTCTGTTGATACATTACACCTAGTTTAACATCTTAGATAATTTCCAATGCGTTTGTGGTCACAAGAACCCATTGTTCCCCTTATTTTGTTTCTCCATGAACAATGCCTGAAAACTGCTTTTCACTTGCAGGTTCTTCAGGTGAGGAAGAACCAGCTGAAGAAACGTGTTTGCATTACTTTCTCTTATTAGCTTTGCTTGTTCTAGTTTGCCTGACAAATATTTCGAATGCTTTCTGAGAAGGACTTGAAAGTTTTACAATAAAATTGCTCTTCATTTGCAACTTTCCCCAATGAAGAACAATCAGCCTAAGAAATGTGTTTGCATTGCTCTCTCAAATTAGCTTTGCTTGTTTAGTTTTCATGAAAAATGTTTTGAGTGCTTCAAGAGAAGGGCTTGAAAGCTTTATAATAAGGTCTTTATCATCTTTTAAAAAAATGCTCTCTCTGACAGCAAGAGGCAGGTTCCTAGAAATGCTGTACTTCATTCTTACATAGCTGCAAAATGTTCAAACATGTTGCATAAATTATCATTTTATCATTCATCCATTGTCTTTCTGTAGTTCTGGATGTGTCTATCACCATTTCACTTTTGAAGTTCTTGTGGTAATTATTTTCCACAGTCACATATATTCTAACTATTTTATTTATTGTATAAACTCCATTAAATTGTGTGCTGCATCAAGTAACATGGTGAACATTTTGAGCATTGATTTTGTTATTTTCATTTTCTATTCTTTCATCAGAACTTCCTTTTCTTTTTTACTTTTACTTATTTGTTTGTCAAACATGTACAAGATAATAGGTGTAAGTATGAACATAAATAAGAACAAAAGAAGTAAATACAGATAAATGGGGACAGTAAGACCGGGATGGTGCGCTTATGCACACCCCCTTTAAGGACCTCTTAGGAATGGGGTGAGGTCCATGGTAGACAGTTTGAAGTTGAAGCTGTGAGGGGTTGAGGCTGTAACAATGGAGTCTGGTAGGCATTGACCATTCTGTTGCTGAAGTCGTATTTTCTGCAATCAAGTTTAAAGCAGTTTACTTTGAGTTTGTATTGGTTGTTGCCCATGTATTATTGTGATTGAAGCTGAAGAAGTTGTTGACAGGAAAGATCTTATAGCACAGGGGTCCCCAACCGCCGGTCCGCGGACCGGTACCGGGCCGCGGAACAAGCCTTACCGGGCCGCTGGTTGCTGGGCGCCGCCATCTTTTTTTGGTAAAAAAAGCAATTTTTCGTCAAAAAAGATGGCGGCGCCCAGCTGACGCCGGAACCGGGCCGCGGCGCCCAGCTGACGCCGGAACCGGGCCGCGGCGTCGAAAAGGTTGGGGATCCCTGTTATAGCAGACTATTTTGTGAACTATGCTTAGATCAGACTGCAGGCGGTGCAGTTCCAGATTGTCCAGGCCCAGAATTTCAAGGCATAGGGAATTCTATTGTGAGTGAAGGAGTGGAATACTTTTCCCAAGAAATATCTCTGAACCTGCTCAATTGTGTTAATATCCGATATACAGTGCAGGTTCCAGACAGATGAGCTGTATTTGAGAATTGGTCTGGCAAAGGTTTTGTATGCCCTAGTTAGCAATTCAATGTTGCTGGGGAAGAAGCTTTGCAAAATAAGGTTAACAACTTTTAAACCCCTTTTTGCAATGCTGTTACAGTGAGCTCTGGGGCTTAGATCATTTGAGATAAGTACTCCTAGATCCTTGACAGAGTGAGGGTTGTCTATGAGATTGCTTCCTCCTAACTTGTATTTGGTGTTCTGATTTTTTTTTTTGCCAATGTGTAGGGCAGAGCATTTGTTAATTGAAATTTGGAGTTGCCAATTGCGCAACCATTCTGACAAGGTTGCCTTGCAGGGCAGCAGTATTAGTGATGTTAAATAATTTTACATCATTGGTGAAGAGGACGCAGCTGTTTTTAATGTTGTCACACAGGTCATTATGTAAAACAGAAAGAGCATGGGCCCTAAGACACTGCCTTGGGGGACACTGCTGTTAACTGATGCTGGATTTAATAGGGCCTTCCCTATTTTGACCATTTGTTGCCTGTTTGACAGAAACGTGGCTATCCGCTTGTGCAGGGGTCTGGAGATGCCGTAAGAATTAAGTTTCAGCAGTAGTTTGTCATACATCACTGAATCAAAGGCTTTGCAGAAGTCTATGTAAATGGCATCTATTGGTTTACCCTGGTCAAGATGTGTGGTCCAAATGTTTCTGCAGTGTAGGAGTTGCAGATTACAGGAAAAAAAATTCCTGAAACCAAACTGCTTGTTAGAAAGTAGGTTGTTGTCATGCCCCGTTTGGAATCTGATTCTGAGGGGGAGATCGAGCAGCTGACAGGGAATGGGAGTGTGGCTCTGGTGTCTGTGGAAGAAACTGGCGAAGGGCACAGTCCGGCTGGGCAGAACAATGGAGAGGTAGAGCAAGGCAGAGGGAATTCAGAGGAAGATCCAGGCCCACCCCCCTCTTCATCCTAGAGCACACAGGGAGGAACGGAGAAGGGAGCAATGTGAGTTGCATGGCTTATGGGGGAGGAAAGGGCACTGATTCCCTTCATTAGCTGCAGCTGGGAAAACAGTGTTTAAAAAGGCAAGTTATGCACAGGAAAGTTGAAGGAAGCAAACCATAAGTTATCTTTCTTTGTTGATGCTTAGCTGGGTTCTTGGTGTCTTCCCAACTGTGTGTGTTTTGTTGGCCTTTGAAGTCTGCAATTCCTTATCCTGCCCTGTCCAGTTAATTGCTGCAGCGTGGTTTGTGTGGATTTTTATTTACAATTTATATGTACTTTGTTTTCAGACTGAATTTCCTTCATTTAAAGACTGTTCTTGGGAGAGATTTTTCTCCAGCCAAAGGTAACTGGACATTGGGGACAAAGTTGGAGGTATTAAAGGGACTTTTCTTACTTATGTGACTGTGTTGCCTTTGTGCCATGCCATGGGTTATCACATTTGTTTGTTTCTAAGTTTAGGGTGATGGATTGGTTTATAATTGATTCCATGACTTTACAGGTGATACAACACAACAAGATTGGTCTTGGGATGACCATGGCTAATGACCATAAATCAGGCAGGAAGCTGGTTCTGAAAGATACCTCATAGATTGTGCTCAGAGGTTCGGCTAGGGCAGTGGCAACCTTTTTCAAAAAGTAGGCACATAATCCCTCAGGGCCAATAGATAGGGATGGCTTTAGGTTATGTAGTGCTGTTTCAACATTAACTGCTGTAAAGTCAATATGTAGCAAGTTGTTACAATTTGTTGTGATGTGACTAGGAAATGGGGGGCAGCAGCAGTTGCTGTCGACAAAGACTGAACTGAAGAACATATTAAAGAGGCTGGCCTTTACAGCTTCATCATTACACTCTTTCCCATTAGGCACTTTTAGGGGTGGGATAGATTTGGAGTCTTTAAATTTGGCATTAATGAAATTATAGAAGACTCAGAACAGTTCGAGTTTAACAGCTCTTCCTCCTGTTTGCAGTGGTGATTGGTACATCTAATCTCCATCTGGCAGCATAAGGTTTTGTAATGGTTCTTAAACTGGCTAAATAGCCAGTTTTGTTTGCTCGCCAAAGAGATTTTTTCTTGGATTGTAGTTTTCTTATTGATATGGGTAATTAATTTGTTTTTTGACTTTAGGGGTTATTTTGCAAGTACACAACAAAGTACACGACAAACTACTCCTAAAACTAAAATCTTATGGTATCTCTGGACACCTGCATAACTGGATAGAAGCATTCCTGTCAAACAGACAACAAATGGTCAAAATTGGGAGTGTCCTATCAAATTCTGTACCTGTCAACAGTGGTGTCCCCCAAGGCAGTGTTCTAGGACCAACTCTCTTCATACTCTATATAAATGACTTCTGTGATCATATTAAGAGCAACTGCGTTCTCTTCGCTGACGATGTAAAGCTATTCAACACCACAGACAATACTGCTACCCTTCAAAAAGACCTCGACTATGTATCAGAATGGTCAAACAAATGGCAACTTCAAATCTCAACAAATAAATGCTCTGTCTTACATATTGGCAAAAAAATCAGAAAATAAAATACAAGCTGAATAGTCAAGACCTTGTTGATGATCCAAGCTCTGTAAAGGACCTTGGAATACTCATCTCTAATGATCTAAGTGCTAGAGCCCACTGTAACTACATAGCCAAAAAGACATTAAGAGTTGTTAACCTAATCCTACGTAGCTTTTTCTCTGGTAATATCACACTACTAACTAGAGCATACAAAACATTTGCTAGACCAATACTCGAATACAGCTCATCAGTCTGGAACCCACATTGATATTAACACAGTTGAGAAAGTCCAGAAATATTTCACATGAAGAGTCTCCACTCCTCTACTCATTGCAGAATACCTTATTTACCGTATTTGCCGGCGTATAAGACGACCCCCCACCACCACCAGAAACGCCCTCCAGAAATCCCCGGGGCTGCAGCGGCAGGGCGGAGTGCCAGGGGCCGTGGGAAGAGCAGGAAGGCTGCAGCCTCGGGCGGAGCGAGGCGAGCGGGATGAAGCGGAAGCGACGCAGGGGATCTGGGAAGCCAGAGGCGCCTTCGCTGCGTCCAACAAGCATCCGAAAGCCGGCAGTGGATATACCGGCGTATAAGACGACCCCCCCCACTTGGAGGCATGTTTTTCGGGGCAAAAAAGTCATCTTATACGCCGGCAAATACGGTATTTATTTTATTTGGTTTGTCAATTGCTTACAAGATAATAGGTATAAGTAAAAACATAGTTATGAATACATGGATACATATAAGAAAAATAAAAGAAACAATAGGACAGAGATGGTAGGCACGTTGGTGCACTTATGCACACCCCCTACAGACTTCTTAGGAAAGGGGTGAGGTCAATAGTAGAAAGTCTAAGGTTAAAGTTTTTGGGGTTTGGGGAAGAAACCACAGAGTCAGGTAGAGTATTCCAGACATTGACCACTCTGTTGCTGAAGTCGTATTTCCTGCAATCAAGTTTGGTGCGATTAACCTTGAGTATGTATCTATTGTTTGCTCTTGTATTGTTATGGTTGAAGATGAAGTATTCATTGACAGGTAGGACATTGCAATGTATGATTTTATATACTATACTTAGATCAGACCAAAGGCGATGTAGTTCTAGGTTTTCTCGGTCTAGAATTTCAAGTCTGGTGGCATAAGGTATTCTGCAACGAGTAGAGGAGTGGAGAACTCTTCTTGAGAAATATTTCTGGACTTTCTCATTTCTTATGCCACCAGACCATTTACATGTGAGACAGATTGTTAGTACACATCAATTAACATTCGTAGCATGTTAAAATAAATCATGTTGGGACCTTCTGAGATTGTCTGAAATCTATTGATGTATGTGAGTGCAACAATTTCACACTCTGTGCTTAAAGCCCTGCTTTCTAAAGCAGTAACTTGGAGGTTTGCTATAGAACAGGGCTGTCAAACTCACGTTGTTACGGCAGCATTGCATGATGTATCAAGACTGCTTAATTGGTTGCACAATAAGTCTACTGCAAATGGTAACTGACAGTGAGAAAAAGAGGAACTTGGTAGGTGGGAAATAAGTTGCAGTTGGGTAATTGAAGAAGTACAGGAGAAACTTCCTCCTTGCCTCTTGACTTTCAGATTGGTGAAACTGCTGCCCCAAGACAGAGAGTTTTGAAATTCATTCATTCATTCATTCATTCATTCATTCGTTTGTTCGTTCGTTCATTAATTCTGTCTGTCTGTTATGTAAGATGTCAGAAGCTTTTTATCATTGACAAGGATTTATAGTAAACTTGATAAAGCATACTAGATGTTCAATTAGCACAAACAGTTACATTCAATTTGTTTTGCATGATTTAATAGCATATTATTAAGGTGACATATTTCTAATCACAGGAGCATCTCAAAAATGAAATGTTCAGTTACAAAAAGCTAATATCTCATGAGTAGGCTACTGCATGGATATCAGTACAAGAGGCAAATTTATAATGCATTCATAAACATAAATACATTGCTTTTTATCATCATGATTGCTTTTGGCAGATGTAAAGAAGTGACAAAATCTGTAATTAACTGTCTACTATAAAGATGCATTAATGTATAGTGGAAGCCAAAATTACTACAGCACATGGGATACCATGTGCTTGAATAGTTCCGTCAAAAGCATGCTTTTTGTGAAAGTTCCTCCCTGAAGCATCATTTTAACACTCTGAAAAGAAAGAAAAGGGAAAAAAGTTTAAAAATTCAGCTTTTCTCTATTTTTTATTTCTATCAACACAACCCTCCTTCCCCCCCCCCAAAAAAAACCCCAACAACAAATATTCTACTAGGACTGTAATTGCAAGTTTTTGTCTCTGAATTATTTATTACACCAATTTCCTTCTTACTCTGGTGCTGGTTTCAGCCCCAGTAAGTTAGACCCTCTTTTGTCTGCAATATTCAGAACTGGCTTATATCAAATTTATTAACATCGCAACAGCTTACTGATGGTGTCTTCCAATTGCTTTATATTACTCAGTGTTTTCCAGTGTTGTGTCAGGAACTTACATAGGAAGTCAGATGTATACGTTCAAAAGTCAAACATGAATCCTGACATCATAACACAAATCCCACAATTTACTGCTAGTCCTCAACATACCACCATTTGTTTAGTGACTGTTCAAAATTACAGTGACACTGAAAAAAGTGACTTATGATTGGTTTTCACACTTGCAACCATTGCAGCATCCTCACAGGCATGTGATCAAAATTCGGGCACTTAACAATTGGCATATATTTAGGAAATGGTGAATCACATGACCCTGGGAAAGTTGCACTGTTCCAGTGATCACCATTTGCCTCCAACGAGCAAAGTCAATGGGGAAAGCCACATTCACTTAAAGATCACATGATTCACTTAACAACTCTGGCAAAAAGGACCTAAAATGGGTAAAATCACTTAACAAGTGCCTTGGAACTTGAATGAAAATTTAGGACTCAATTGTAGTTATAATTAATAACTGGTAGTTACACCGGTCGGATCCCACCCCTGGTTAAGATACAAATACAAAATGTTGGGGTTCACAACCTTCCATTGGAGTACACCTTATGTCACATTTTGTCATCAAAATTTGTCGCAGACACATGTCACTCATCTGTAATGGTCCGCAGCATTCAGAACACCAAAAGCATAATCAGAGAAAGTGGTCTCATTGATATTTTACCTCTATGATCCTTAGCCCAGTGTCAGCTTCCCCATTCAATCCCAGACATAACTCCATCTTAGTAAGACATCTATCACTGCCTGCAAGGCTGGGGCTGCTTTCAAAATGTAGAAATAAAATTGATGGTCTTAAGTGAATCTAGCTGCATTCAGAATCATCAACCATTGAGTTTTAATGAAAGCAACCAGTGGTCTATGTCGGGGTCTCCAAACTTGGCAACTTTAAGACTTGTGGACCTCAGTTCCTAGAATTGGCTGAGGAATTCTGGGAGTTGAAGTCCACAAGTCTTGGAAGTTGTCAAGTTTGGAGATCCCTGGTCTACCATTTTATTTATTTATTTGATTTGTCAATTGCTTACAAGATAATAAGTATAAGTATAAACATGAGTAAGAATACAGGAAATAGGTACGAATAAATGGGGACAATAGGACAGGGACAGTAGGCACGATGGTGCACTTATGCACGTCCCTTACAGACCTCTTAGGAATGGGGTGAGGTCATGTTTTAAGAAAATGGATTCCGGACCACATGGCAGTTTCTGCATAAAATAAAAATGAAACGAAATGTTTTCCCTCTTTTTTACTTCTAGAATAATATGAAACCTGAGTTTTGAGAAGATAAAATGCCTGGGAATCCCATGCAGACCCTGTTTTTGTTTTGTTTTGTTATTTTTTATGTGCAATTCCCAGGCTACAATTATTTAAAATGGTGACATTGCGTCCTGTCATTTTGAGATGGGAATTTCCACCCAAACTGTAGCATAAGCCCTAAAACAGACTTAAGATAGTATAAAAATGATAATAAATAATAAAAATAACTTCCCTTCCCAAATAATAAGCCAAACACCCCCCAAAAAATTCCTGCAAACAAACCATAAACTAGGAAACAAGGGAATAACATTGTTCTAAAAATTAAATGTACATGTATCATTTTAATTCTAAGCTACTGTAAGCAAATGCAATTAAATGAGGAATTCTACTCACAATGGAAAGCTATACTGTACTATATGCCAGAAAGTATCTTACAATGTGTCTCCTATAAAAGGTTGTTGCATTCATGGAAAGGACAAAACCAACATTTGTTCTTACCCTCTTCTGAAAAGATATGAAAAAAGCACCATGGGACACCAGGTGGTTTGCTCTCAAAACAGCACTTTCTCCTTGCGCATTCATTGGCAGAGATTCCTGGGTAGCCACAGTTCTTGCGGAGTTTCACATCTGCAGGACACACCTTTTTATCTGTTTTGAAAATAAATTCAATCAGGCTTAGTGGGTCAGGGCTAGTTGCAATTTGGTTCTGAACCGGGGTGGGATTCAATTTTTTTAACAACTGGTTCTGTGGGCGTGGCTTAGGTGGTGGGCGTGGCTTGGTGGTCATGTGACTGGGTGGACATGGCTTGGTGATCATGTTATTGGCTGTGCGTGGCCAACTCAATATCATTCACATCGAGTCACGCATCTTCTCGCCTGGCCTCTCATGCCTGTGGGGATGCTGCAACAGTCGTAAGTGTGAAAAACGGTCATAAGTCACTTTTTTCAATGGTCATTCCATACAAGCAAAGTACCAGCAAAGGAAGGGAAAAAAACTCCAGAGACGTTCCTGAGACAGGAAGTCTAATCCTGCCAAGAATGTAATAAGGGTTAACGGAGAGGCAGTTTCTGTAAGCAACACCAGAATGTTTCCTTCCTGCCTTCCTTACAGGATTAGGCCAGTAATTTCTTCTAACAATCATTCTCTGAACTGCTTAGAATGTTAACAACCGGTTCTAGCGAATTGGTACGAACTGGTAGAATCCCACCCCTGGTTCTGAATATGCTATATATGATAGATTCTATAATACTGTAGCTGTACAACATGCTGTCTATCATGAAAACAACAATTGGGAAGACGCCATCAGGTGTCAGGTGAAGCCATTAGGAGGTGCTATGTTTTCCATATACAGATGTGCTGCCCCCTATTTTATTAAAATTCAGATTCCATAAACATATTTACTGTGGATAACAGAGGCTGATTTAAAAACTCAATTTAAAGTATCATTCAGAAGGAGAAATCTTCATTAGTTCTGAATGTCCATTAAATCTGAAAAATACATAACTTACATTAATTGTGTAATAGAGTCATTTTGCAAATGATGAAAATTGTATCTTGCATCAGTGTATATTCTTTGCCTAATATGACATAGATTGATTATGATTTTATTATTATATTAATTTATTTGATTTTTAAATTAGTTTTACAGTTTTCAATGTGGTTTTTATATTCTGGAAGCCGCCTTGAATCACCATGGGCGAATAGGCAGCAATATAAATTTAATAAATAAATAAATGATGTAAAATTTTAACAAAACGTTTATAAATATGAATACCTTGTCTTGATTAATCAGATACAATCCATTATTTCAGAAAGATGCCTGGATGGATTTTTTTGTCTGTTGCATTCAAAATCCATTAAAAATGGCATCATTAAGCTTATATTTTATTATGTTTCATAACAGTAATTCCAACTTATCTGCGCAGAAGGAATAAGGACTAAACATATTGTAGCAGTTAGAAGTAATAGGTTTAATGAAATATGTATCAAATCACTGAGGAATTCAAAACAAAGCTCTATATTCTTCATAACATGTATTGCAAACTATGCTGTGTTGTTTAGGAAATCATTTGAGAAATGTGTTGAAGTATTTAAAGGTCTTACCTTAAGGAACCACCGATTAATAATTCATCTAACTGGACTTGTGTTGGAATGATTGTCAAAAGTAGTTTGGGTTCTGTTACTTCCCAAAAAAGACTTTATCATATAGTTGTGTTACCCTTAAGCAATGTTCCAAAAGAATACCTCTTATCTAGAAATTACTAACAGCCAAGAAAATTATTTATTTAACAGACTATAATCTCTAACATGAAACAATAGGATAAGAACAAATGCTGTATTCAGACAAAACCTAGTAAGCAGTGTGTACTAATAATTAAAGTTGTAATGATACTTTTAAAATGCTGACTCAAATTTAAGTAGTAGAACTGCCCAATGCCCAACTGCCCAATGGCCTAATGCATAACACAAATCAATCTGACAGGTCTCCTGCCTCATTTCTCTTTCAAAAGGTAAAGTCAGCTGTGCACGTTTCAGTAGAACTCAAAATGTGATGTACAGTACAGCTTTTAAGAGTTCTCTTGATGGAGCCTGATTGTAACAGTCCAATTTTAACTCAATTTGATTGTCCTGTACAGTGGTTGATTTATTCCAAATGAGAGCTTTGAAAATGAAGGTAACCCCTATCTGTAACTCTTTAAAGGAGATATGTGGAGGCACAGCTGTGCAATCCAAGAAAAGACGTGGCTACATTAAAGAGATACAGACAGGATTTACATTTGCAGTCTTCCACTGAAATTCCTAGAATTGAATGAGAAGTGCTACACAGATCTTTTTTTTTTTTCTGCTTAAAAGTTTTTGCTCAAGCAGGCAGCATCTTTAATTATCACAAATTTCCTTAGATACTTTATGTAGATCTGTTTAGATCTACCGTATTTGCCGGCGTATAAGACGACCCGGCGTATAAGATGACCCCCCACCACCACCGGAAACGCCCTCCAGAAATCCCCGGGGCTGCAGCGGCAGGGCAGAGTGCCAGGGGCCGTGGGAAGAGCAGGAAGGCTGCAGCCTCGGGCGGAGCGAGGCGAGCGGGATGAAGCGGAAGCGACGCAGGGGATCCAGGAAGCCAGAGGCGCCTTCGCTGCGTCCAACAAGCATCCGAAAGCCGGCAGTGGATATACCGGCGTATAAGACGACCCCCCCACTTGGAGGCATGTTTTTCGGGGCAAAAAAGTCGTCTTATACGCCGGCAAATACGGTATTTACCTTTCTGAACTTCAGCTTCTCCTATTTGTGACCTCAATACATGATAAACTACCAATTACGAATAGATTGGAAAATGGAGTTAAATATACTGTATATTTTGGATAAATAATCAGTACTCCAACTAGCTTTTAAATTTTCCTCTACTATCATTGAAGATAGATACTATTTTTAGATAATATCTTTCTATATATAAAGTATGAATTTGGGAGTTTGGGCCATATCAAGAGAAACTTTCTGTATTTATTTTGATTAAATGAAACATCTCTCCAACTCTCATAGTTATAAGATAATTATAAGATATAAAGAAACCATCTATCCAGGGACCAGTACTTCTCTGTTTCTCTTGAGTCTGGGTTACTCTAATTGGGTACAATTAAAAAAATAAAGAACCTGTGGCATTGTCTCACTACTACCGCCAGCAAGATATCTGTTACAAAATTCTTCCTGATGAGAGGCCCTATCTATTCCACTAATTTGTATATCATTTAAGAACTGGAAAAGTCTTTTTTGTATCACAATTACATTTTGGAGGGGTTGGTTTGAAGCACCAAGGGACTCCTGGCACTGTTGAACTGAAGCAACATCCTGAATTTTCACATTCCTGGGATGTGATCCCAGGAGGTCCACAGTTGGTTCGTTTGTGGGGATCAACGTCACATCGGCATTTTGCTGTCAAAAGACAAAACTCCAGTTATCCCATATTACCAATGTATGGCAAATGATTTTTTTTTAGCTATCACTATGCAGAACTTCAGAAATGCAGAAAAAGTGTCACCTCACTTAAACTTTTGACAAGTAAGCGGGTTCCCATTTTTAGATGCTGCTGTGAAATATTGATATAATAATTGCCTACATCATGGTTAGTTTCTTTTAAAAGACACCTTGTGAATGGCACATTGCTCCAGTCTGTTAGCAGAATCAATTCAAACCAAGGAATCTTGTTACTGAGCTAATTCCTTGTTGCTGAAATAGTTCAATAGTTGAGTGTTGTTTTGAATGTTTTGCCATTAACATACTTATCCAGAGATGTAAGTTTTAAGAACATTGATGTTGCCTCTTCAGCTTCATCTTTGTGGATTCAGTCGTGCTGGAAAGCTCTTAAACCGAAAGCAATATATACCAAACCACATGGCTGTTAAGTTTTAATGCACGTATTGAGCCTTTATGCTGTCGAACCAGCATGGTCTTTGAGACCAACCTATGTGACCAACCCTATGAGTCCAAATTAGAAGAGGTGTTGGATCATAAGTTCTCTGTGGAGGAAGCAACAGCTCAAAGGGTCAAGTGCTGGTATCTCTCTGCATCAGCGTAAGAAAGAGATGTTGGGGTTGTTGTGTTTCCCTAATCTTATGTTTTATAATTCCTGTAGAGAAAATATTTCTAGATTCTATTGGAATTCTTCACGGGACTTATGGATTTCATTAAGAAGCTATCATCTCTTTCCAAATGTCTACAATTCACATTCCCAGCACTATATTTTTCTTTATCTACTTGTAATGCTAGAACTAAATAAACATGTTTTTGCTCTTTACCCAGAAAATGTAGTTTTCTTCTATATAGCTGTTACCCAACAAGCATAGAAGCAGGACATGGAATAATCATTATAACAATAAGAACAATTTTACACTGGAATAATGTTATCACCTGCAGAAATAATGTCCTTTTCACTGGATATGTTGAATGACAGGCTAGAGACTCATCAGTTGAGGATGCTTCAATATGAATTTCTGGACTAAGAACAGCTGGACAGCCCTTTTTCTGCTTAAAAATTTTATACTGTAAAGCATGCATGCATAGTTTAATCCTTAACTCCCAACCTTTTTGGCTCAACGGACTGCAGCAGCAGAGGCAGTGACAGAAGGGGATGGTTTTATATGTGCAAATTAGCTCCTGTGCCTGTACAAATGAAGCTTCGCACTCTCGCCTGTCACTTGCTTCAGCCTGGTTCCCAACAAGCCATGGACTGGTAGCAGTTCTCAACCCAGAGCTGGAAACCCCTTCCTAGCTGATTAATGGTTGATGTCTGATTAATGTCTAACCTACAAGGTTTTGCAATCGCAGAAATAAAATTATTTAGAAGATTCAAAATACCGGCAATTAGTTAAAACTTTCTAAATATTAGATGAGTTAAATATCATATTTAGCGTCTTCCATGTACTGAAACATTGCAGCAAAATGCTCGTTCTAAAGCAAAGTACTTACATGGAGCTGTTACCCCTTCAAGCAGTATGCTGCAACCTAGAATTAAAATAACTAGACATAACCAGAGCCTCTTCTGATTCTTCATATTCTACAATCCTTGAATTTGGTTCAAAGAGAGTATTATTTATGTGGCATAAATGGAGCTTATTTTATATCATTATGTTTGTATACTTCATTCAGATAACGAATTTCCTGTTAAACTCCACCTCCAGTAAATTAGAAAATGTAATTTAGATTTTTATTAGATATGTGGTGGAGGTATCTGGATAATATTTACAAAGGGAAAATAATAAATGTCAGCCAGGTGATTATATTAGCCAACTGTCAAATATTGAACAGTTTCAAATGAAATAAATTTTAGAAAACTAAAAGGCATGCCTTTTTAAAAAAAAAAAAAAAAATCCCTCTGCTTCATGCCAATACATATTTACTAAAAAAAAAAGCTTTTGTAAAAAAAGCATTTGTATTTCAATCCAGATACTTCTTTACAAAACTTTCTACTCTGTTCTTTCTGATCCTTTCTGCTGGATAATACAAACTTCTCCCTATTGTTGAGCAATATGGAAATTGACCGCTCAGGTATGTATGTAGATTGAGTAACATGCCATTTTTTTTCATTTTCCTCCTCAAATGCACTCATGAAACTTAGGGAACATTTCTTTAACAGTGAATTTAAATTTAAGAGGCAAAATATATATCATTAAATGCTAATACCAATATCAGAACCAATTAAAATTGAACTAAATAAAGCAACAAAGCCATGGGAAAAATCTGTCTTCTTTAAGTCTGGATACTGAAAGAATTGGGACATGACAAGCTTCAGATGGTATGAAGTTCCCATGAAGACTTGCTTTTATGTTGATACTAATCTGGAAGAAAACCAGCTTTGATTTTCTTAAAAGCTAAGCATTCAGGCGTGGATGACTTTTAAAATGCTTAGAATTCAAGTTAATTACAGGTAGTCCTCATTTAGTGACCACAATTGGGATCAGTAACTCGGTTGTTAAACAAAATGATTGCTACGTGAAAACATGACTGTGCTTATGATCTTAATTCATCTTTCTTTTGCTTCAGAAGTTTAGAAGTGTCATAAATGTGAGGATTGGTCACAAAGTTATTTTTTCATCATTGTCATAACTGGAAACAGTCATAGTATGAGGCTAAATGATGGCTACCCATATAGCTTTAAAGTATAGAGAATTGCACCTAGAATTGGAAAGATCTTCAAATGGAGTAAGCATGGTTGTATTTGCTCTGTTCTTATTTAAAGACCTAGTTCCCATATTTTGGACGACCTATATGGCTAAGATATCCAAGGATATATTTTTGTGTACATGCCTTTACAGTTATCTATCCAAGAAGTGGCAAGAGTCTATCATCAGTGTGTTATAGAAATGGCCCTATTTAATCCAACAACCAAAGCTGAAAGAATGCCTTTAAATCTGTGCATTGAATACAAACCTTAATGTACTTTCAAATTGTTTATTTTGAATATCTAGTCCAAATATGTACCACATTTAGTGAATTGGCTATTATTTATAATTCAAATTGTGCAAAAATATGAAATTGCTGTTGATTAATTCTTTGATAATTCTAGTAATGATGCTACAGTTCTTTCTTCTGAAAAAGTGAGAAGAGAAACAGAAATACTCTCAAAATATTGAACACTAAACCTTTATTACAATAATACAAAGAATATGAGCAAATCTCCATACTAATGTTATGTCAATTGGCCTTCACTCTGCACGCATTTCTTCAAACAAACCATATTTCTTTCAATGTTGTTCTTCAGAGAGAATAATTTCCTTGTTTTTCATGTGGATGGAAACACCAGGGGACTGTTTTGGCATACTGGTAATGTTCATAACAACATCCTTTGGCCGTGCATTCATCAGCAGAGATGTCAGACGTTCCACATGACACTCGTTTCTTGGGTGCCATTCCACACAGCCTTGCAGGTACTTAAAACAAAATTACAGTAAGGAAGTATAGTCTTGCTGTCTTGGAATATTTTCTTTTGGTGATAAAGCAATATCAGAACAATGGATATAGAAAAATGATACGATTCATCTTAGTGGAAAGATTCCCCCATCTCAAACAAAAACGTACTTCTTATTGGTATTATGATTATTATAATTATCATTACTCTGTGGCTTTGCACGTACACTGAGAGCTTCGGCACAAGAAACAAATTCCTTGTGTGTCTAATCATGCTTGGACTAATAAAGTATTCTATTATGAATTAATTTATATAATTATTTATAATATTTCTTCGCTCCCTTTAAGACAGAAGTCTGCTATGGCAGCTTTCAGGGATAAAACCATTCTATTATAGAGTCATACTATAATAATAGGCAAGCAATGCTGATAAGATAACAATTAAAATTATTAAACTTATCAGGGCTGCCTGGAAAGCCACTACAACAATACTTCTTCTTCACGGAACTCAGCACATTTCCATGAAAGTCAAGACTCAGTTTGATTAGATAAGATGTTTTATTTCAAATATGACTGATGCTAGCACAACAAAAATCCACTACTGAACAGCCTAAAAAACTTTTTTTAATCTCTTTCCTCCTCCCCTCCCCCACATCTACGTCTATCCCATATCCTATTCTGACTTCAGATTGATTTTCTGTCTTTCCGTTTCAGATAAATGTGGCTCCCATGGTTGGATACTTACCTGTGTCTGACAGAGGATGAAAGCACCACCGGGTATTAATGTCATATGAATTGAAGCAACATCCCTTTGCTTGGCATTCCTCAGCGGTGATGCCTGGGTAACCACATTCTAGCCTTGCACTTCCTTCCATTACACAGTGTTGAGAAGCTATTCAGAAAAATGAATCACATTACATACATAAAATCATCCTTCTTTATATTTTTCATTTTAAAAAATCTGGGAGAAGTGTAGAGTGGATGATCTTTGAAAACATGATATGAATAAATGCTTAGTGAGAATACTTAAGAAAACTTAAGCTTAAAAAACCCAAACACAAGCATTCAAGTAACAGAAATCTTCTTCTGGGTGGTTTTTCTGCAGCCAACATAACAAACTAAAGAGATGGCTGCTTTGGCTTTTTATATGGACTGTTTCCTGGTATGATTTGATTGCTTATTGTACCCTATGACTATGATTAAGTGTTGTTCCTTATGATTCTTGATGAATGTATCTTTTATTTTATGTACACTGAGAGCATTTGCACCAAGACAAATTCCTTGTGTGTCCAACCACACTTGGCCAATAAAGAATTCTATTCTATTCTATTCTATTCTATTCTATTCTATTCTATTCTAT